CAACCACACAGAGCATTAGTAGTCAGAGCCCTTTTCAGTTCACCTGGTACCCTAGAGTTCAAGCAGTAGAGGATTAGTTTATAATGTGCCTATCAAAGAATAACTAAGTACAAAAATAAAAATAACGTGACCACACATAATAGACTGTTTCCCGTTTTAGACCACCACTCCTCTGACAGAAAATCTCCTGCTAATTAGAAACAAGATTAAATAGCTGCATCATATATTTTTTCTTAAAGGTCACTAACTCAGACTTAGGTAGATTTTAAGTAGATGAGCGTTCCAGGGACTGGACCATCTATGAACAATGTGCTGCTGCCTACCATGAAAATTTAACTACGGAACCAGTGAGAAAGAACATTCGAGATAGAATAACAGAAGCGTGGGGCTGGAAGGAACCTCAAGAAGTCATCAAGTCCTGCCCACTGTGCTGAGGCAGGACCAAGTAAACTTAGACCATCCCTGACAGGTGTTTGTCCAACCTGTTCTTAAAAAACCCCAATCATGGGGATTCCAAGCCTCCCTTGGAAACCTATTCCAGTGCTTAACTGCCCTTATAGTTAGAATTTATTTTCCTAATAGCTAATCTAAATCTCCCTTGGTGTAAATTAAGCCATTACTTCTTGTCCTGCCGTAAGTGAAACAATTGATCATCGTCCTCTTTGTAACAGCCCCCAACATATTTGAAGACTGCTATCAGGTCCCCTCTCAGTCTTCTTTTCTCAAAACTAACCGTTCCCAGTTTTTTTTTAACCTTTCATCATTGGTCAGGTTTTCTAAACCTTTCATCATTCTTGTTGTTCTCTTCTGGACTCTCTCCAGTTTGTTCACATCTTTCCTAAAGTTTGGCACTCAGAATTGGACACAGTACTCCATGTGAGGCCTCATCAGTGCTGAGTAGAATGGGACAATTACCTCCCATGTTTTACTATGCCACTCCTGTTAATACACCCCAGAATGTTATTAACCTTTTTTGCATCTATATCACATTGTTGACTCCTGCATTTGTGATCCACTATGACCCATAGCTCCTTTTCAGCAATACTACTTCAAAGCCAGTTATTCCGCATTTTGTAGTTGTGCATTTGATTTTTCCTTCCTAAGTGAAGTATTTTGTACTTGTCTCTATTGAATTTCATCTTGTTGACTTCAGACCAATTCTCCAATTTGTCTAGGTCTTGCTGAATTCTAATCCTACCCTCCAAAGTGCTTGCAACCCCTCCCATCTTGGTGTTCTTTGCAAATTGTATAGGCATACTCACCATTCTATTGTCCAAGTCATTAAAATATTGAATAGTAGCAGTCCCAGGACTGACCCCTCTTGGCACCCCACTAGATATACCCTGCCAGTTTGACAGCAAACCATTGATAACTACTATTTGAGTATGGACTTTCAACCAGTTATACACCCACCTTATAGTAATTGCATCTAGACCATGGTTCCCAGTTTATGAGAATGTCATGTGGGACTGCATCAAAAGCCTTACTAAAATAAAGATATATCATGTCTACTGCTTCCTTCCTATCCAGTAGGCCAGTAACCTGGTCAAAGAAGGAAATTAGGGTGAGGTTTGGCATGACTTGTTCATGACAAATACATGCTGGCTATTTCTTATAATCCTATTATCCTCTAGATGCTTAAAAATAGATTGTTTAATAATTGTGTTCCCATATTTTTCCAGTTCAAAGTTAGGCTGATTGGTCTGTAATTCCTGTGTCCTCTTTGGTCCCCCTTTTAAAGATAGATACTATGTTTGCCCTTCTCCAGTCCTCTGGGACCTCACCCATCCTCCATGAGTTGTCAAAGACAATTGCTAAGGGTTCTGAGATTGTTTCAGCTAGTTCCTTAAGTACCCTAGGATGAATTACATCAGGCCATGATGACGTATCTAAATATATTTTAATCTGTTCTTTCACTATTTTGGCTTGTGTTCCTTCCCCCCCGTTTTGTTAATATTAATGGTGTTGTGTATCTGATCACCATTAACCTTTTTAGTGAATAATGTAGCAAAGTAAGCATTAAACACGTTAACCTTCTTGATTATAAGCTCCTTCCCTGCTAAGTAGAGGACCTACACTTTCCTTCATCTTTCTCTTGCTCCTAATGTATTTATAGAACAACTTTTTATTGCCTTTTATGCCCTTTGCTAGATATAACTCATTTTGTGCCTTAGCCTTTCTGATTTCGTCTCTGCATAACCATAACTGGGGCATGGGAAAAGATGTGGTTTCATAGAGTGGCTATTTTTAGTGCTTTAGGGGTACTCATCAGCACTTTGCTTTCCACCTGGAGGCAAAAATAGAAGTTCACATCCCAGACCAAAATTGTAACATGTTCCAACTGAAGTTCCCCATTTCGTAAATAGGAAGCCACATTATGGGCTAGTTGATACTTTTGATTCTTCTTCAGGACCAGACCCAAGTTCTGTAATCTCATGTGGAAGTGACTAAGGGGTGGATAAGTATAGGGAGAGGCCCAGATTAGAGTGGCAAAGTCACAGAATTCAAGAATTAGGCATAGTCTCAACAAAGGAGGAAGTTGCCATCTCTCTCATTTTCTCCAGAGGCTTCCATCTACCTGCCGGCATTACTTTCAGGATATTTTGAATGAACGTTCATGGAAGATCCTATCTTGGCCAGGTACTGGGAAGGCAAAGAAATTATAAAGTTTAGATTTGAAGTGGGGAATAAAAAGTACAGATGAGTATAATCATCAGCATACAGGTAACAATAGATGAAAACCTCTCAGACCTAATTTTTAAAATAGGAGCCTAAAGTTGACTTTGTAGAAATGCTATTTGAGTGCTCAGCACTTTTGAAATTCAAGCAGGTGACTAAATATGGATTTAGGAGCTTACAATTTTAACAACCTTGACCCTCATGATCTTCTTCAGTAACCTGAAATACACATTAAACAGCAAAAACATGGAACCCACACAATCCTATTGGGAGTAATCATTAGTGAGAATGAATGATTGTTCATCACCACCACCCCATGTCATCTACAAGAACCAATATGCCACCCTTCCTATGTTCTATAGGCAAGCAAGCAACTCCCCATTGGAGTTTTGCCGTTGACTTCAGTCAGTATTTCACCCTGTGTGTTTTGTACATTCTGTTTCTGATGTTATATGTTTTGATTATGTAACTGTGCCCAGTGTTTCAAGTGTGTATTGCAAATAAAATGGTAAGTTTTAATGGTAAAATGGTAATTATACTTCAGAAAAGTATAATTGATTTAAAAATATGTGGACTGGAGTAGTGATACTTTGGCTGAAGAAGCTGCATAATCCCCACATTCATGTTATTTGGGAAGTAATTACCGTGTTTGTAATCTTAAACCAATTTGATCACAGCTTTTATTCATGGTACTTTACAACAAGAATATAGATCATAAATAACATTTGAAAGATATGAGGTTATGCAGAGATAATTGCACATCTGAATTACATTGGCACAGTGCCCCAAGCACCTTCCACCATCCCTACTGAATTGTATAGCTTCACGTTATGAAATGCATTATTGCTCTCATAGAATGTTTTTATTGCTCCAGAAGGGCAAACTAAAGTTCATAAAATGCAGCTCCTGATTACCACTCTGTGTGACTATTTTTTATTTTCTGAACCCTTCTTGGCCAGTCTCATTCCTTGGTGTGTTTTTATGTATATGGATACATAAATTTGCATCTCTACCAATTTGAGAGGTTTTATCACTGTGATAGGGATTTCCCATAGATATAATGGCTAGTACCAGCAAAACCAGGCAAACGGCAAAATTTTAACTGTAATCCCTGTATCATTCCTTGCAACTAATCTCACTCATCGCAAAAAAGATATTCAATTGAATAGCGTGTTCAAGTTACAAAGGCTACCAGAAATTATGGTATGTTTTGTGCAGCAGCATCAGAATACCGTTCCTGCTGTAGGCAAAATGCAGTGTCAGCTGCTTCTGGTTCTTCAGGTGACAGTCAGCATTAGAGAGTAGAATTCATTATGTTAATGGGAAGCTAAGAGTTATCTTAAAGTACTTCTTTCAGGGGTCGTGCTGCAACAGGGAAAGTGATGATATCGTCCCAAGTTCTGCCCACAAACCAAGCTCCACCCATTCATGATAGCTATACGAGATGCCGGTCACAGTAGATTGTGCAGAACTTCATATTCCTTCTTCGTAATGTTTTTCTGTTATCTGTAGTAAAACTGTTAACAAAGTTGATATTATTTAGGATTCAGAATCACCACCCCATTAATATGACTAGGGCAGTTCACACCTCGCAGCTAATGTGTCAGGATGCCTACAGACTCAGGAAGTCAGGGCTACCTCAGGGTTTGTCTAGTTCACATTCCAAAGGTAATTTTTGAAATCAAGGGCATGTCTACATTTCAAAATCTTATTGTAATCAAACATGTTTGGGAAGAGTTGAGTTAACTTAAATGACAATGCATACGACTGACCGGTCAGCGTAGACCAGGGCACATCATGTTCAGCACCATGTGAGCTAGCTGTGATCAAACTATGGTTCCAAAGCATTACACGTTTAAAGTGTGGTACATAAGATCGAAGAATTGAAGTGATATTATGACACCTTTCTTGCCCCCAAAATCTCTTGCTCTCATTGATGATATCCTAATGTGGGTTGCATATATCATCATCATCATGGGAAATCCCAGAAGGACGTAGACTCCTTGCAGATTGAGTGCCACCTGAATCAGTCTTTATCTAGGTCCTTGAGGTGGTCTGGCTGGATATTCGTTTATGTCCATCATTGCAATCTGATTACACTACCAAAGCTTTTGGCAACCATGTGATTGCCAACTATGAAGCATCGTTCTTTGGTAAACATGAAATTCATTGGTCTTCCATCCTAATAATATGTATGAGTCTATGAAATATTGTAAATATAATAAAGTTAATATTTTAATATCACATGGACTTCTATATAATCTTTTTCTCAAATAAATAAAAAAATCATGAAACACTACTTCAATATTTTCTCTCGCAAGGTCATTGACATGCCTGAACACAATCCTGGAGATATGGGAGGAACAATGAGACTGGGAAAAAGGAAGACTGTTTTCAAAACAGAAGACTCTGTCCTAAGTAAGTTACTTCTTGCCTGTTTCATTTTCTCTCATGATAAAAATGCCATCTGTCTCATATTTAAAGGCCTAAATGAATTGTGCCAAACATGTTCTTGTGGTTGCATTCATTGCCTCTCCTTACACACCATGCAGTCCACATTTAAAATGTTTCCTACCCTGAAAAGCAACTACACAAATAGCATTTTTTATTCATCTGATTAGTTCCTGGGGTGAATCTTTTTATTATCTATAAACAACGTCTACTAAAGATAAATTAACAGCCCTCTCTTCCCTCTCTCCCTGTTTGAAGTGCATGCCGATGAATCACCCAGAGAGGCACTGGAGGGGGAAATACACAGCTTCATTCTCTCTCTGTCCCACTTTCGCTTCTCTCCTCCAAGCACCAGATAAAATGGTCACTGTGAGGGGAACTGGCACAGACTGGTGACTCTGCAGGCAACAGTGGGAGGACAGGAAGCTCAGTACACCAGGCTGGCTTCAACATGTTAGGTCCCCAACAGTGCTCCTCTCTCCAGATGGATGGGTTACCTTAGATGCCCCCACATTGCCAGATTCTTTACAAGGGCACAAGCATTTCTCGTTGTACAGAACAGGCTGCTGCTGCTGCCTCTCTCTTTTTTGATGACACACCAGTACACCCAGCAGGAGCCAGGACTTCCAGCAAGAAAAGTGGGTGGGTCAGTCAAGAAGGACATAAAGCTGCCCTGTATAAAATATTGCAGTTTTATTTTTTAAATTAAGTGCGGTTATTTATGCAGTGTGATCCTCAGTTTTTCAGAATGTGACATTGGTGGTTCCAGCCACTTTTTAAACTATGGACTGTGATGATCGTCCTTGCCTCTTGTGGTAATAACCCTCTCTATTTTTGTGTTCAGCTTACAAGAAGCACAAAGAGAGGAAAACAAATATTGAGCCCAAATCTACCCTCGGATGCTCACATGCAGCTCCCACTGGAGTGGTGAATGAAATTCTATGGGTAGAGCTTGAGCCATATTGAACAGAGATATTTGTCAGATATACTCCTGCCCAGAGGGTGTGCCAGAAAAAAGGTCACATGGGAACGTCTGTGTCATTATTCCCATAAAATAAACATTAGTAATTCATAAATTCAATGTAATCCATTGTTGCCCATCATGGAGTAATAGTCCATTTTTATTCTAATCAATTTTCTATTTTTTTCACCATCAAGATCCCTGGCATTAGGGTTCTTTGAGCTTCAGTAATGCTTAGCAAATATTATTTGTCCAGCCTGGCATGTCACAGCAAACGCCAAACCCACTATTTTTACTGCCTTGGAAGCTGAAGCACACTTGGATGATATGATACACGAATGGTAGCCAGTGTGCTTCACATTCATTCCCAATGCTCTGAGTGTGGATTTAATCCAGTCATGTTCATTCTAGCCAGAATTCTAGGGCAAACAGACACTGCTTACTTTCTCTCATCTGATATGTTCCTTCTGATTAACTTAAAGGATGCCTGTCTGCGTGAACTTCCCCAGTCCACTGCTAGAGGACTCAGCCAAAGCCTCCTCCTTTCTTACTTTTACATATGAGGTGAAAAAATAGAGGAAGTGAATAAATGCCCAAACTACATTGGGAATTCGGATTCTTGTCTAAGTGCTTCATTCCATTTAGTAGACAGGAACTTCAGCTATCTCTTAATGTGTCCATCACAAAAAAGAAATTACCCATTAAGTAACTAATGGAGACCATTTGTTTCAGAATGATAAATATTCTATGCTATGAGTGACATTCCATTCAGACAATATAGAAAAATACTTCATTCTTTCCCCCAAATAATTTTGTACCCAAATACATTACAAAGTCCCCAATAATACACATGAGATTACTTGTTGATAGAGTGGGATTAGTCAGGAACAAAAGAATGCTACAAAATAGAAATCTTTATTTATGATAAGTAGTTCAGATACCCTTTATTTCTGGAGATGCATTTTTGGCCCAGGCAGATGTTACAAAGAGTCATTTTATATTGCCCCTTGAAGCCATCCCTTTAATGAAACCTTCCTGAGCTGAATGTGCTTACTGAAGTGTAACATTTTCTCCTCTATTTTAGAAAATATTTAAAAATATACATCAGTGCAAGACACTGGCTTGTAATTAAGCTATAACTGAGTGTCTGGGTTTTTTTCTGGGAACCTGTGATGGGGTGGACTAGGCCCAGAGGCTCCCTGTTGGAGGCTTTGGGGTCCTACCACACTCCGTCCCAGAGAGGAGCAAATGAGAAGTCCTCCAAGCATCCTAGAGTGGCTGTAGAGGAAGCAGCCAATCCAAAGGGCTGCAGGAGGGCCATATAAAAAGGAGCTGCAGAGCCAGAGGCAATCAGTTGCTGCCTGGATCTGGAAGAGAGAAGCCTGTGTTCCTGGATGGCTAAAAGAACATCAGGACTATGGACAGCTCAGTGTGGGCAGGGACCAAGAGAGCTAAGAAGTAACTCCTGGCTGACTGCTGGGACAGAGTAAGGACTGAGCCTGGGGAGGGCTGCAGGACGACAGTGTCTCTAGGGCGGAAGCCCTGGGGTATGGAGGCCCAGGAGAAGGTAAAGACTGTATGCCCCAGAAGGGTTTTCTTCTGTTGCACCTACAGACAGTGTGTGTGACTTGACCGGAGAGCTGAGTGAGTCACTGAAGACCCACCGAAGAAACCATCGACCAAGGGGGGGTGCTCCTGAAAAGCGGGTGCTGACCCCATTACAGAACCAGATATAGTTGAATTAAGATTTTGAGAGAATTCACTTTTCTGCCCTGCCCTGCCCTATAAACTTCCAGTATAGCTGAAGAAGTCAGAATATCATTTGTAAACTCCTGGAAATCCATCTTCTCCAGGTGATCACTCACTATTCAGTGGATTAGTGAGTTTCCATGTGCTACCAGCTATATAAGAGTGATGGCAATACCTTCATCTTAAATTAAAAGACAGTACTTTATGTCACAAAGACTGTTTCACTGATTTTAATATGAATTTAAGCAATCCGGCATTGCTTTCCTTCACTTGCCTGTTTTTAAATACTGCTGATGAAATTTCTAGAAAACAACTTAACATAAGAACTCATATGACAATCAAATGAAAACAGTATTTTCTATAAAGTCTTTAACCATAAAGACAAAAACTCAAAAAAGAAATTGAGCCTCTTGGCCTGACTCTAACCTTAGCATGGGGGCTTCTCCTGGGCTATGGTTAGGGCTGGGGCCAGCGGGAGGTCCCTGGGCTAAGGTTGGGGCTGGCTGGATTGGTGTCCCAGGGTTGGAGTTGTGGCCAGGGCTAGCAGAAGCCTTTAGTATAGGATGAGGGTTGGAGCCAGCAGGCGACCCTGGGGAAGGATTAGGGTTGGGATTGGCGGAGGTTCCAGGACTAGGGTTAGGGTCGGGGCCAGCAGAAGCCAACAGGCTAAGGATAAAGTTGGGATTTGCAGAGGCTGTGGCCAACAGAGGTTAGAGCTATGGTTGGGGCCACCGTGCAGCCCCCAGGTTAGAGTTCTGGTAGATAGCCCTAGGCTAGTGTCAGGATTTGGGGCGGCAGGCAGCCTTATGCTAGGGTTTGGGTTGAGACTAAGAGAGGCCTTCAGGTAGAAGGTAGGGTTCAGATCAGTGGAGGACTTCAGGCGGGCAGACAGCCCTGGGCTAGGGTTGGGGCTGGCAGATGCCCTGAGTCCAGGGTTAGGATTTTGCCCAGCAGAGGCATTTGGGCTACGGATAGATCTGGGATTGGCAGGCAGCCCTGAGATACTGGTATGGTTGGAAAGGGCAGTGGGTTTTCGGATAGGATTGGTATTGGGGCCAGCAAGGGTGTCTATACTGCAGCTAGGAGTGAGACTACCAGCTCGGGTAGACAGACTTACGCTACTGGAACTTGAGCTAAAGTAGCAGTATGTATGTTGAAGTTCTGGTGGAGACTCGGACTAGCCACCTGAGCTGAGACCTAGGGGGTAGGTGATCTTAAGAGCCCAAGCTGACACCTGAGCTGCAATGTCTGCACTGCTATTTTTAGTGCACTAACTTGAGCCTCACTAGTGTGAATCTGTCTACCCCGCTGCAGTGTAGACATATGCCAGTAGGCCCTGGGTTTGGGTTAGGTGCTAACTATGACCCTAGCCCTGGTCAATCACCTGACTCCAAACTTAACCCCAGCCCAGAAGCTCTGCCAGTCCTATTTGCAGCACTATCATGAGAGCTTCTCCTGGCCTGACTGCTAACCCTAGCCTGGAGCCATATGCTGGCCCCAACCTTAAAACCAGCACTGGGCAACCTGCCACACTGAAACCAAATCTTAGCCCAGAAACCCTTGCTAGCCCCAACCTGGGGCCCCCTCCTGGTATGAACCATAATCTGAGTTGCAGGACACCTGTTGGCCCCAACCATAGCTACATAAATTTAGCCTAGAATTTCTTGCCAACCCAAACCCTATCTGTAGCACAGGGCTGCTTCCTGGTCCAAAGTTTAACACTAGCCTGGGATTGCCTGTTGGCCACAGCCCTAATCTTAGTACTGAAGCCTCTGCTAACCCTAACCTTAGTCAGGAGGCCTTTGCCTGGCCCCAATCCTAATCAAAGTCCAAAAGCTAACCCCAACCTGGAGCCCTCTGCTAGCCCTCTTAGCCCTAATCCAGAACCCTCGGGCAGCTCTAACTGTAACCCAAGCCTAGCATGCTCTTCCAGCCCAACCTTTACCACAAGGGCACCTGCTAGCCCCATCCTTAACCCTACCCAAGGGCCATCTGCCAGCCTCAAGCATAACCCTTAGCCCAGAGCCACCTGCCAGCCCCAGTGTCAACCTAGCCTGGGGCTCACTGATAACCCCAAACCTGTTTGGCTGGGGAAGCTCAAGCGGCTTATATTGCCCTGAATAATGAGCAGGCCAGAGACTATGAAGGGGTTAAGGCAGCCATCCTAGATCTAGTCAGCCTCCACCGAGAAATGGCCACAAAATTCTAAGGTGCAAGGATTATGAGGCGGTGCAGCCCCAGTCATTTGCCCAAAAGTTGATGGATTGGGCCACCTGTTGGCTGAGGCCAGACATCCAAACAGTGGGGAAGATAATGGATGCTCTGGTGTTGGAACAGTTCCCTCAGGGCCTCCCCAAGAACATACAGGTGTGGGTTAGATGGCATCAATCTGGCACTTTGGATGCATTGGTAAAATTGACAGAGGGGTTCACAGAGGCGGAACTCCCCAGGACAGAGGGCCAACTCCATAAAGGATCAAAACGTAGAAGGAAGTTTGGGGAATCCACAGCGGCCAGGAGTGTGGAGAGGAAGAAGGAAGATCGCAGAGGACCTCTGGCCAGGGCTCGATCCATGACATGTTTCCTGTGCAGGTGTCAGGGTCACTTGGAAAAGGACTACCCGAACATGGAATATGAGTTTTCTGAGTTTTGCATCTGAGACAGGACTGGAAGGAAGGAAAAAAGGAAAAATTGTCCACCATTCCAGTAATGGTGAGAAGGAAATGTCAACTGGTAGACACAATTCCTTTGATAGATAGGGCCTCTGCTTGCTCCCCAGTCTGGCAGGAGTTGGTGCAACCCCACTGGCTGGTTCCAGGGGCAAGTGTGAGAAGAGAGTGTATTCATGGAGATAAAAAGTGCAGCCTTCTGGCAGAGGTACCCCGGGAAATCTGGAGGAGGTAAGTGGAAGCAAGCTGGGGTAGTGGACAGATTGCCCCACCCCGTTGTGTTGGGTTCCAACTGGAGCCCCTTCCTACTAGGAAAACAAGGTGGTGTTGGGGGCCGCAGCTGGGGAAATAGAAAATCTGAGTGGGAGGAAATGGATCCCTACAGCAAGGGAAAAAACAAACCAGCAGGAGCAAATTTATAAATCCCTAGGGAACAGAGCCTAACGCAGGTGAAAGGGGAGGAAAACAGAGTCCTGCAAGAGACTGAGCAGGAGGGGATAGTAATTAAGGAAGTAGGAATGGTGGAGAAAGACAAGCAGAGCTCCTTAGTAGAGGTTGAGGGGCCCAGGGAGTACCCCATGGTGCACCCCAAGGAGAAGCAGGTCAGGCACAGTTTGGAGGGTTGGGAGAGCCCAAGGCCCTGACTAATCAGGGGAATGAGGGGAGTGCCCTCGATCCCCTGCCAGGTATAAAGCAATAGAATAGGGAGAGCAACCCCTCAGGATGCACATTGTGTGATGACTTGTGGGCTGAAATGGAGCTGTGGGGCATCCCCCCCCCCACCAAACATGGGTTCTGTGGATGGAAAATGGGTGAACACCACAAGAACAACCTTGATGATCACCCTAGGGACCAAGAGCAACCCCCACAGCGTGATGCCTCTGCTAAGCAAGGGAAAGCACAGGGAAAGGAAAATCTGATTGTCAGGTAATGGGGGGAGATGGGTGTCAGAGTGCAGGGGCAACAGCGGCTGAGCCAGCACTCTGATCACTGCAACTCCAGTTAGTTGCCCCACAGCACCCTGACTATGGGCACTGTGCACAGTTGATAAGTTGGGATGGGATGGAGAGAGTTAAAAGACTAATTAACTCGTTAGCCCAAAAGGTGCGGGAAGGAAGTATGGAAGGGGAAAGAGAATGGGGAAGGGGCAGCCCCAGCCCCAGGCCAGCTGCCTTGTAGCATGAGTCACAAGGGATCTCTCTCCTCCTTGGCACAGGAGCTGAGGGCTCCATGGGACTGTTGATACGTTGCAGCATAGTCTGTAAAGGTTCTAGAAAAGAACCCTGTAAATGAACCACATGAGGTGTTTTACCAGAAGAAGGTCTCTGAGCCATTTGTGGGCTAGAAAGTAGGCTGGAGCAAGTCTGCCCTGCCACAGGCTGGTAGCGGTCCCCTAGCTACAGTTACAGTTAGTTACTGGTGGTCCCAGTTTAAAGTTGGGGCTAGCAGTGCTTGCCAGGCTAGAGTTAGGGTTGGGGCCAGCATTCACCCTTGGGCTTGTGTTACAGTTGTGCTGGCAAGGAGTCCTGGGCTATTGCTAAGGTTTGTGTCAGCAGGCAGCTCACTGCTAGGGTTAGGGTTCGGTCCAAAAGGGCTCTGGGCTGTGAATAGGGCCCTAATCTTAGTCCTGGGCCTCCCACAGCCCCCCCAAACCATAGTCTAGGGCCAGGTGCCAGAGACAAGCCAACCCCCCAGCCCAGCTTAGGTCTACCTCCCAGCCCCACAAACTAATATATTAGTGTTCTGGTTTTTGTTTCTTTGTTTTTGTGGGGTCAAAATGGAGAAGTTTTTGTGGGGTCAAAATGGTTTAAGTTACGTGACTTATCATAGCTGGTAGGCAAAAAGAAATACCATATCAGGGTTCAATTTCAGCCACATCTTTCAAAAGCTGCTATAATGTTTAATGTAGGTCACCTATTAGCAGGTCTCACAAAAGAAATAAGGTGATGATAAAACTTTGATACAATACAATTCTTTGTCCATCAACAGATTCAGACGTACTTGCTACATTATCATCCTGTTCATCTTTTCTGCCTGCAGCATTCATCTGGGATATGAAAAAATGTTTAGCCTTCTCAGATTTGTAGACAATAGCTTTTCGAGTTTTTAAGATCATATGTAATTTGGCAGGAAATGAAAGTGCAGTATATATACCCATTTAAAAGAAAAAGTGCTTTTAGAGATAATGGCTTTTTGACAATCAGCTATGTGGCTTGGGTAACACTAGAGAGGATATGGATACACACTTCATCATTTATAATCTTTTCCTGTTGCTATACAGCAGTTATTATGTGGTCCTTATCATCTGCTTATAGAAAGGTTAATGTTAAGGTGCAGCGATATGTTGTAAATCTGTGCCTGCATTTTGAGTAGCTTGGATGGCCATATGTGTCAGAGGAATGCGTAAAGCTTTGATAATCTGTATTGGAGAAGGAAATCCTGCTCCCACTCCTCATAAATCACAACTAGAATGGGAATATGAGGGGTTCTAAAGGTTTCCCTAGGATTAACTTTTGTAACCACCTCAGTCAGATCTCTGTATTTTCACACTGCAATTTTTTGGAGATGTCTTCCTGCAGTTCAGTCTTGCAATAACCTCCCCCCATCCTTCCCAACAGGAAAAGATTCTCCAGATTCTAATCTTAGTTACAGCAGTGTAACAGAGAGCAGAATTTGGTCCATTATCTTTAATTAGAACTACGGTTAGAAGTTCATCACTTTCTAGCTGGGAAAAGGGGTAAACAGTGAGGTGGCAACATTTGCAGATGATACAAAACTATTCAAGATAGTTAAGTCCAAAGCAGACTGCAAAGAGTTATAAAGGGACCTCACAAAACTGGGTAATTAGGCAACAAAATGGCAGATGAAATTCAATGTTGATAAATGCAAAGTAATGCACATTGGAAAACATAATCCAAATTATACATATAAAATGACGAGGTCTAAATTAGCTGTTACCACTCAAGAAAGAGATCTTGGTGTCATTGTGGATAGTTTTCTAAAAACATCCACTCAATGTGCAGCGGCAGTGAAAAAAGTGAACAGAATGTTGGGAATCATTAGGAAAGGGATAGATAATAAGACAGAAAATATCATTTTGCCTCTATATAAATCCATGGTACATCCATGTCTTGAATACTGTGTGCAGATGTGGTTGCCCCATCTCAAAAAAGTTACAATAAAAACTGTATGCACGTTGGGGGAATTGGGGAGGGGAGGTGCTGGTAAGTGAAGAATACAGGTTAACTAAGAGGGAGGGAGTTTGGGTGCGGGAGGGAGTGCAGGGCTGGGGCATGGGAGAGGGTCCAGGGCATGGGCTCTGGGAGGGAGTTTGGGTGCGGGAGGGGGCTCGGGGCAGGGGGTTGGGGTATGGGAGATCCGGGGAGTGTTCACCTTGGGCAGCTCCCTGCAAGCAGCAACCTGTCCCTGCTGCTCCTAGGCGGAGGCGTGGCTAGGTGTCAGCGTGGCTAGGCGGCTCTGCATGCTACCCCCACTGCTCCCATTGGCCGGGAACTGCGGCCAATGGGAGTTGCGGGGGCGGCGCCTGCAGGTGGAGGTGTCTAAGCTCTACAGTCTACAAAAGTTATTCATAATCTTACTTGCAGAAGTTGATACTCACTGGTAAGATAGAGAGACAAGATGGGTAAGGTAGTATCTTTTATTGGACCAAATTCTGTTCTTTTTCTTCTGAAGAGCTCTGTGTAAGCTTGAAAGCTTGTCTCTCTCACCAACAGAAGTTGGTCCAATAAAAGATATTACCTCACCCACCTTGTCTTTCTAATATCCTGGGACCAATATGGCTACAACAACACTGCAAACAACTGGATAAGTTAACATTATATGGTCAAATAGTAATAAAGAAAGATGAACAAGTAGTGAGATAGGAAAGCACAAGCGAAGATTGTGTTAGGGGCACAGTGAACACAATTGGATTGTTTGTCTGAGTGTAAGAAATTTCTTGGAATTTAGATTTCATGGAGCATGTGCAGGACATTGTGATCTAAAAGAACAACACTAGAAACACTATGGCACATTGTAAGAGCTGTATCTTCTGCTTTCTAGAAATGTTTGATAGAAGAAATACTTTGCTATTAATCATTTCCTTTGTGTTATTTTCAGGGAAACTTTATGGTGATGAAGATTTTGTGGAGGAACGACACAGGCATCGGTATGAGGTAAGGCATTGCTAATATAATTTATATTGTAGAGAATTTATAGCATTGGCAAACTATGAAGAATTTATTTAATCTGAAGTCAATGGGAGTTTTCCTGAATAAGGGTGAAGCAAGGCTTTAGGGGGTTGGTATAATAGTAGGTACTATTTAGATGTACTTCAAAGGGTTCTGTGGTTTGCAGACAATGTTGCATCTTAGGAGACCTAGCTTGAAGAGTGATACTGGATTTAATCCTTCTCCCAGTGAAGTTAATGGTAAAACTCCCATTGATTTCATTGGGAGCAGGATTAGGTGTATTGCTTCTCAGGCTGGTTGAGCTCAGATAATTCACATAGGTAACAGACTTGCTCTCTAAGATGAGGTAACTGCAGCTTATTGTATGAGCCCCTCCTGTCAACAGACTTTCAGAGTGATCTTAGGGGAAGCCGCCCTTATGATGTGCAGACTAGAAGAGAAGCATCACAAGGGGAGATGGCTTATGAGGAATGATTTGATTGGTTACTTGAATAAAGTTGTAGGGGACTGTTAGGCCTCCATCTATATCAGTGAACACCGGCACAATAGGGGAGGTAATCACATTTGTGTGACTCTGAGTAGCAAGTACTAATGACAAAATAAAAAGAAGAATGTTGGCCCCTGGCTGCACTGCTCTGATAGCACTCCTAGTCTGCAAACCATGTTCAGTTCATGCTGCATGCCCTGCAAAAACTACACATTTATTGTACCTCTCTGTGATGGGATATACAAACCCCACCCAGGGCCTGAAGGGGTTTAAAAGCAATACTGGGCCCTGGCTGCCCTGTGCCTCCAGACCTGCCGAGCATGCTCCGTCTGGAGGATTGGGTTAAAAGGAGCTCAGCCAAAGGGTGGTGAACAGACTGTAAGAGAGAGGAATCCTTCTCTGGGAAGCCAGACAGAAGAGTGAGCCTGAGAGAGGGCCACAGAATGGGCAAGGCCCACAGGCAGAGCCTTTGCCAGCCACCACCCTCTTTAAGAACCAGCAAGTCTGGCAGAGCCCTGCTCCTTTGGATTCTTCTGGTGTAAGGGGATTGACTGTTCATTTGGACTATAGGGGCATGCTACAAACTGAAGGGATCTATAGGTAGGAAGTGCCTCAGGGGAGCAACTTAGACTTACTGCAGGGAGGACTCTGCCGGTGTCACTTTCTCACAGGTTCCCCTACTATATCCTCTTAAGGGCCTATAGCTTGACGTGGGTGGGAAGCCAAAGATCCCTGGCTTAAGATCAGGAAAAGATACCTCTGCTGCCTTGACAGAGAGGCAAAGGGTTGGAATTTGGGTACACTAACTACTAGGCTGCCCAGCCCACTGAGCCCCTTGTACACTCTCTCTTGCCTAATGATCAATAACTATTATGCTACCAACCATGCAGTGTAGGAACACTCCTTATTAATAGCAAAATGATAAACATGATGTAGTTCAAATACAAAAAAAAACCCCACCCCCAAACAACAACCCCCCACACGTCCAAACCTTACTTAAAATTGCACAGCTCCTGAGGGCAAATAATGCTGAAATCAAGTATAGGAAATAATGAGTTACAGGAACACTGACAAGCCACATAGGGCAGAGTTAAGGTTGGTTGGGTATCAGTTTGGTGGCTGAGGTTGTTAAATGTTAATTTGCTTGGGAAAGGAATATCCTATATTTGTGAGTATCTGTGGGTATGTATGTGTGAGAAGGTGCTGTATGAAGTTGTTTATTCTAGGTTTTATGAGTTATGTGGGTTTTACTTGGGCATTGTTTTCCTTTAGGACTTCAAGTGTTCACCAACTTACTTTTTTAAGGTTGACTATATTAAAGAAACATACTTGCTTATTAGCTACATAATACATGTTTTAGAATATTAACCATGCTTGATACAAATATAGTGTACTAGTAGGAGCCATTTTAGTATTTTGGATGTATTTCACATTTTAAAACAATTGTTTAATTTCATATTACGTACGAATCACCAATTTTACAAATTTCCACTGCACAATTTTTAAACAAGGGATAATTCCCAGCCCCCCACTTTCCTACATATATATTTAAAAATTAAAACTTATCTACCTTTGTTAACTATGTAAATACTACAATAATTACTACCCGTATTTTTCAATTTTCCAGGTAAATCCAGAATTGACTGGCTGCTTTGAAGAGAAAGGTTTGAAATTTGTTGGCCGTGACACAGAAGGGACTAGAATGGAGATCATTGAACTGGAAAGTAAGTAGCTCAGTTTTTTTGTAACAACTTCTGCATATATTAAATAAGTGAGAACATTATTAGAGTGAACTGTATATAAAAACATTACTAACTAAGCCAAAAATGATTCTTGTATCCTATGAGATCCGCATTAGCTGACTGCTCTAGTACAAAGGGACGAGGCTCCAACCAGAATATGTTAGGAACCGCTCCCCTCCATTTTTTTTCTAGGACGATACGTACAATGCAGTGTCAAGGAGTCATGCGGCTCTCTTCCAAAAGGCTGACATCCTAGCTCAACAACTCCTGACCACATCAGAATACGCAGGTGGCAAGGTGTTTGCCAAACCAATAGATAAGGTAGTGGCTGAGGCATCAGAAAAGCCAAATAACTTCTTCCCCTCAAACAGGTAGTCTGGAAGGGATTATTGCCTTTACAGAAGAGCAGATAGCCTTTTTGCAGCTATTAATTGTCCAAATAACTCTGAATAAACTCAATAAAGGGAGTGCCAGATGGGATTCTTGCTACCATTCTACCTTTAACCCACAACAAAACAACCAACTCCTTTATGTGTCTCTTCCCTGAAACCAAGGAGAACCACTGTCTAGAAAGCAAGCTCTGTTCCTTCACAAAGAAGTTAACTATTTTTACTTCAAACAGGTGGGTTTTAGCAATATGGATACTCGGTAGATTTGGATTACTACACCAAATAAGATTTATTTTCTCTCCTATGGCAAGGACCTCCAGAAGACACAAAACATAAAGGAGAAATTATTCTGCAGATTGACTTGACTTTACTTTGTTGAATTTTAACATTGTACTGCCAGAAGGGATAATAGCTCTCTTCTTCTTTTGAGCCCCTTGCTAATTCATCCCTGTTTTAAGTCACTGTGTCTAATAAATGTTACCTGTTAGCTACAATTTCAGCCATTATATACAGAATCAAAGTTAAAGGCAAATTGTTATTGGACAGAACACTGTTTCTGAAAGGATTCTCTGGAGACAATTAATTTTACACACCATAATGTGTTATTCAGGCTTCCAAAATACCTTTCAAGTGGGATATTATAAACTGCTAAAACACAAGGTTATATTTCTGTTTCTGTCAAAGAAGAAAGCTTTAATTCTGAACCAGAGTTTGAATGAAGATATATTTCTATCATGTCAAACATCTGCAATGTAGATTGCCACTAAGGTGTACATCCGCTTTCATAATCAAATAACTCTCATGGTAATTTTTTGTATAGTTTGTTCCTGCTACACCTGCTGATAATTGGTATTAGAAGGCTATTTCATTTGCTTTGGATGAAATGATTTATGTAGGGAGCATAATGAAATAGGGCAGGGTTTTTAAATTATATGTTGCTACGAGAGGAATAAGAACAGCAGTAAAACCTGGAATTATTTCACAATGGTTTTGCAAGGGGGCTCTGATCATTGAAGGGGAAAAACAATCCCCTCAGGGGAGTTAGAGATTGGGGACAGAAATATATTCTACGAAATAGGGTAGGCAAAACATTTCAGAAGAATATCCCTACAGATACTATTTTGATGTCTTTCAGTAATCTTGTTTTGCTGCTTTTACCATATAGCATGGTTCCCTAAAAGAAACAAGCAATGGAACCAGATTCCTTTAAAACATATAAAACTACCAGATTTTCATTGTTATAGGAAAACATGCTTTTCCTGTAACCACCTTGTTGACTGGTGCGAGTCTCAGCTGAGAATACCAACTTCAGGACAGACTGATAAAAATAGGGCAGACACACCCAAACCTGGTGGCTATTCTAACATTAGATGTACCAAGCCAGTAACTGAATGAGGTTCTGTAGCACCACACTGGTCAACAAGAAGCTAACAACACAGCCCCCTTTGGCAACCAGCCCTTATCACCACCCAGACATCTGATCTTTATGATGAGACGTTACTGAAAACCATGTTCATCATATATAAAGTTCTTCCAATCCCAAAAGATCAGCCACCTCCCCAGGTCAATATATAACTCAGATCTTACCCAAACATCAAGCTGATGCCAGTCCATTAGTAGCTAAAAACTAAAGGTTTAACAACATAAAAAGAAAAAAAGTTCTTAAATGGTTAAGAGAATCAGATACAAGTGATTTTCAGAATCTGTAGATCAGGATCATAGCAGTGATGTTGAATCTACTAGGTTGTAAACAAAAAAGCTCTCTGGTTCACCCAAGCAGGTCAGGGGTCATTCAGTCGTATGTTCAAAGCTTCCTTAGAAAATCACAGCGCAGAGATGAGAAGCAGGAATGAAGACAAAGCAGTGATGTCACAGATTGCAATTTTTAGCTCAACTCTTGCATGGAAAGTTACTGGCCAATATGGAGTCCCGGATCACATGAGCATGGAAAGTTACTTGCAAAAGATGGAGTCTTAGTTCACATGTCCTCATCACATGTCCTTACATGCTTTGCTGATTCATATGGGTAGCCATTGGCTCCACACTGTCTGTGGCATCTTCAGGAAGGGTTCACTGAAGAGCTGATTCCTGTCAATGGCCCATCACCATATGGATGGCCCATCACCATATGGATGGCCCATCAACCAGTGATGGCTAGCCTGAATGTAAATTTGTCTGTGGGGTATAAGCCAGGAACACAACCCATGTTTGAGATACAAATACATAGCAAATATTCATAACTTCAGATACAAAGATGATATATGCATATAAACAGAATTATCCTATTTAGCAGATTACAGCTTTTCCATTGATACCTTACATGGCATGCTTTGCAGTGATATATTAGTGATTGTAAAAGTAGTGTACACCTGGTTTTCATTGTCATAGGAAAACATACTTTTCCTGTAACCACCAACTCTATGATAATGCAGTGGAACTCACTGGAACTGGAAACTGTTTTGGAAATTGTCGTACCAGAAGAGAGCAATGATCAATATAGTCCAATGTCCTGTCTCTGATAACGGTCAATGTTAACTGCTTTAGGGCTTTAATAGCAGCATCCTTGTGGGAGAAATAGGTGTATGGAACAGGAATGTCCTAAAACATTTCCCCTTACTTTCTTTCAAATAGTAACCTTACCTAAATGCTCAGATTTAAACTAGAGAGACAAGGTGAGTGAGGTAATATATTTTTTTGGACTAGCTTCTGTTGATGAGGACAAGCTTTCGAGTTTCCCAGACCTGAAGAAGAGCTCTGTGTAAGCTTGTCTCTCTCACCTATAGAAGTTGGTCCAATAAAAGATATTACCTCACCCACCTCATCTCTCTAATATCCGGGGATCAGTACGGCTACACCAACATGCATACAACAATGGGAGATATAAACTAGACGCATCTTGCTTCAACATAAGCACACTATTCTATTTTTAAGAGAAACATATACCTACTCTATTTTTATGTTGGCTTTAGAAAGTCAGTGCTGCTACTCTATTACTTTCAGTGTTTATATTGAATGTGATAAACTACTATTTATAATATATGTTCATTGTCTTCTCTTTCACACACAAGCTATAGTAAGGGTCATTATAATGTATAGCTGCACAGCCTTAGAGTAGATGTGGCTATTAGTGCTAGCAGCAGCAGTGCCTTTGACCATTTTCTTTGCTACAGTCCAACAAATAGACCTGGTGTCTTCAGGTGATCTTAAGCTCTCTGATGTTTTTCTAACATGACCACTTAATGTTCTTTAATTACATGATCACATACTAGTTTTTCCACAGGACCCCTCCTTATTCAGTGAACAGAATGGACAGTGCTTACTGAATCGGCATATTTTGTTTGCTTTTCATTGTTCATGGACCAGGCCTTATTTTCTGCACACTATCCAAACCCTGCTTTGAAGACAGAAATATTAATTTCCTAATTTTCTGTGGTGCTCATTGCTGTAATATCAGAGTGATCCACAAATATTAATGTATCTTCATGACACTCCTGTGAGGTGAGGGATGGCATTTCCATTTTGCAAATGGGGAGATGAGGCACAAAGGTTAATCAAGCATATCCACTAACCAAGCTGAGACACTTAGAACTTGATTTTTCAGAGTAACTTAGCATTAAATAGTACTTGCTCAAAGCACAGCCCCATTGCCTTCAGTTGCAGCTGTGGGTGCTCATCACTTCTGCAAATCAGACTGTACAGTTTCAAGTAAGGAACCCAGGAAATAAGTGACCACCTGTGAAAATTTTGGTTTAAGTGACTTGCCCAGCAAGCCATGGAAACTCTGTGGCAGAGGCAGGGATAGAATCCAGTTCTTCAGGGCAGCATTCAGCTGTCCTCCCCATGAGACCAATGAAGCAGGGATCCTACAGAGCCTCCTTCACTACACAACCATGATTCATTCCCAGAGCAGGTCCATCCCTTCATTGAATGAGGCAGGGGTCCTGTGGAAAAAACAGTATGTGATCATGTAATTAAAAACTGTATCAATGCATACACATGGGATGAATGAATTAAGGTCACACAATTCCCATTTACCAGTCAGAATTCCCCATCAGGAAAAAACAGAGAGTTCTCCTTAGAGGGGAAAAAAAAGTCTTCTCCGTTAGTAGTGACCATACTTATTGCAATTAATCCTTATATTTCTATTCTACAGTATTTTATACCAAAGGTTGCAGGTCAGTAGTACACACAACTGGGACATCTGATCAGCTCCTTTGTCCTACTTGAAAAGATTGAGTAAATATATTCTCTGGAGCTGGTCAGGAAAATACCAACAAAACATTTTGTCAGAATTTGCCCTTTTGTTAAAATCAAACCATTTCAGAGATAATTTCCTGCCAGCTTGTCCACCTGACTCCACAGCAGACTGATGGGGAGCCAAGAGCCAGGGAACCCTGACTCTGAGGTTTGCAGCTTCTCAGTAGCCCAGGCTTCCAGGGTCTCCATGGCTTTGGGACAGCCCGTCACGCGGTCTGCGTTGGAGTCAGGGACCTCAGGGCTTCTAGGTTCTGCAGCAGCCTACCACACAGACTACACCTGAGCCAGAGCTCCATTCCCTTGTGTTGATAATTACAGTATTTTGGGATTGTGTTCCAAGTCAGAATGAAACCAAATATCAAAATCCTCCGCAAAATGGGGTCATCATTCTCTTCCTATTTCCAGCCAGTGGGCCTTCTTGACACTTACTTATTTCAGTGGGAGTTGAAGGCACTCAGCAGCTTGCAGGATCTGACAGTTTATTATGCACACTGTGCTTACATTTATGTGTATCTGTACATGCACACAAAATATGTAGAGACTAAACTACAGTGTAAATATGAGAGATAAGCCTAAGCACACTCGGTGCATTCTAGTGATTTCATTGTAAATATGGGAATGAAATCACGAGTGGCTTGTGCTATTATTGGCATTCAGATCTGCATATTACAGCCTGTATAGCTGTATTCAGTTTTCCTGTGTTGTATTTAATCAAAGAATATTAAGATCTTTTTCCCCATTAAATTCATATGAAATTATAAGGTTTGGAGAGGTATTTATGAAACCTTGAGTGTCCTGTGTTAAATCTTTTCCCTTATAAAGTAGCTTCATTAAGAACTCTTTTCTATTTTCTAGCCTTTACCATTTTCTTTATGCCCTTTGGATTTTAGATCACCCATATTTTGTTGGTGTCCAGTTTCATCCAGAGTTTTCCTCAAGACCTATGAAGCCCTCACCTCCATACCTTGGTCTCTTGCTTGCAGCAACTGGGACACTCAGTGCATACTTGCAACGTGGATGTAAATTGTCTCCAAGGTAACGTTATTATTTGCTTGTTTGCCTACAGTTTCAGCAGGACTATCCTTTATTGATACAATAAATCAGGAAGGGAAGGGGGCTTTTTTATATTGATTTTTATTACATTTATGAGAAATCCTGACTAATGATTGGCTGAAAACAGTCATCTGAAGAGCCATATCTCTGTATTTTTCCTCCTCGGAGACTAACAATAGTAGGATGAGAAACAATAAAGTACTACAGTAATGAAATGCAAATAAGTACATCCTGACTGGCTGCAATCAGTTCCAGGAAAATTATTTCTCACCTCACAGGAGGTGTCTGGCCCTCTAACTTCACCTGTGTTAATGGTTATTTTACCTGGAAAAAGGTCTGCTGGCAGCTCATGCAGTTAAGTGAAGTTCTTACCTATCTGTATGTGAATGATCATAACAATGAAACAGTGAATGTCAAGGTTATTTTGTTGCAGCGAGGTAATAATATTGAGCAAGCAGAAAAAGGCCCAAAGCAAAACCCAAGTTTGGGGAGGATTTGAACCTAGGTCATAATTTTGTGGCTGAGCCAAACCAAGAACTCTGATCCCAACAGCCCCAGACCTGTCTCTGTAACCAAGATAAAGTACCTGGGACATTTCATTTTTATAGCAATACTTTTCAGCCTGTGTTAATTCATATTTGTAAAATGCTTTAATGATCAAAGATGCCATGTTAATAGTAATAATTATAAAGAGCATGTGAGGCCAGGGGAAACCTAGGGTAAAATGGCAAAGCTTCTCAAAATATAGACCACTGTAAGATAACCTACTCAGATCCAACTTTGAAGTGCTCCACTACCCTGAAAGCAAAGTGCACAACTTACCAGTTTTGCTTTTTTTCCGAAGACTCAATAGGAACATAATAATTACCAAGCCAAATCAAACTGCTAGTATTCTGATTCTAATAGTTTACAGCAGATCTTTCAGATGCAAGTGAACTTTAACTCTAATGGTCCTGGCCATTGTATAATAATGTAAATATAGGGAAAAACTCCTGACTTCTGCAGGCCATCTCTTATAAATCATAATATTCAAATACACCTTTACCCCGATATAACGCAGCCCGATATAACACGAATCCGGATATAACGCGGTAAAGCAGTGCTCCGGGGGGGGCGGGGCTGCGCACTCCAGTGGATCAACACAAGTTCGATATAACGTGGTTTCACCTATAACACAGTAAGATTTTTTGGCTCCTGAGGACAGCGTTATATCGGGGTAGAGGTGTATTACCTTAATAGGGCTGTCAATTAATCGCAGTTAACTCATGTGATTAATTTTTTTTATTCACGGTTAAGTTTTTTGAATTAATCGTGATTAATCGCACTTTAAACAATAGAATACCAATTGAAATTTATTAAATATTTTTGGATGTTTTTCTACATTTTCAAATATATTGATTTCAGTTACATCACAGAATACAAAGTATACAGTGCTCACTTTATATTATTTTTTATTACAAACATTTGCACTGTAAAAATGATAAAAGAAATAGTATTTTTCAATTCACCTCATACAAGTACTGTCGTGCAATCTCTTCATGAAAGTGCCATTTACAAATGTAGATTTTTTTGTCACATAACTGCACCCAAAAACAAAACAATGTAAAACTTTAGAGCCAAAAGTCCACTCAGTCCTGCTTCTTGTTCAGCCAATGGCTAAGAGAAACAAGTTTGTTTACATTTATGGGAGGTAATGCTGCTCGCTTCTTATTTACAATGTCACCTGAAAGTGAGAACAGGCATTCGCATGACACTCTTGTAGCTGGCGTCACAAGATATTTACGTGCCATATGTGCTAAAGATCAGATACCTCTTCATGCTTCAGCCATCATTCCAGAGGACATGCTTCCATGCTGGTGATGCTCGTTAAAAAAATAATGCATTAATTAAATTTGTGACTGAACTCCTTGGGGGGAGAATTGTATGTCCCCTGCTCTGTTTTACCCTCATTCTGCCATATATTTCATGTTATAGCAGTCTTGGATGATGACCTAGTACTTGTTCATTTTATAAACACTTTCACTACAAATTTGACAAAATGCAAAGAAGATACCAATGTGAGATTTCTAAAGATTTAAGAATCTGAAGTGCCTTTCTAAATCTGAGGGGGATGAAGTGTGGAGCATGCATTTAGAAGAGCAACACTCTGATGCGGAAACTACAGAACACGAACCACCAAAAAAGAAAATCGACGTTCTGCAGGTGGCATCCGATTCAGATGATGAAAATGAACATGTGTCAGTCCACACTACTTTGGATTGTTATCGAGCAGAACCCGTCATCAGCATGGACTCATGTCCTCTGGAATGGTGGTTGAAGCGTCAAGGGACAATCTTTAGCGCATCTGGCATGTAAATATCTTGTGGCGCCGGCTACAACAGTGCCATGCAAATGCCTTGTCTCACTTTCAGGTGTCATTGTAAACGAGAGCAGGCAGCATTATCTTCTGCAAATGTAAACAAACCTGTTTGTGTGAGCGATTCCCTGAAGAAGAAGTAGAACTGATTGGACTTGTAGGCTCTAACATTTGACATTGTAGAAAATGTAGAAAATATCCAAAATATTTAAATAAATGGTATTCTATTATTGTTTAACAGCACGATTAATCGCAATTAATTTTTTAATCGCTCGACAGCCCTATTTGTTAACCATTGCTACAAATGTTATAAGAGGCATGGTCATAACATTATCTATCCCATTTTCAAATCCAGAGTTTCATTTGATGGCCTCCTGTAGTAGTGCATTACACAGGTTATCTATATATTGGAAAGGGAAGTACAGTTTTATTGGTTCTAAATGAAATGTCTTTTCATTTCTTTAAAGTGCCCCTTTGTTCTCAATGCGTAAAGAAGCGTGGTGTACTAATCAGCCATTCCAGCTATTGATCATCCTAGGGGATATTAAGTATACTAGTAAATGAAAGGGTATTTCTGAAAAAGTACAGACTATTAGGGAGATACCAGAGAAAAACAAACAGACAATTCTGAAAATAGAAAACAAATGTGATTCTTGACAATTGCCATCCTATACATATATTTTCTCTCCTTGGTAAAGTAATGAAACAAAGATTAAGTAAAAGAAATCACTAAACATTTAGGGCTAGATCCTCAGCTGGTGTAAATTGGAGTATATCCATTGGCTTCAGTGCAGCTATGTCAGTTTACAGCAGCTCTGATCCCTAAATCCAAAAGGGACCATGAGCAATAAGCATCATGGGTTTATAAAGAATAAATATTTACAGACAAAATATTTGATTATAAAGCTTGTAGATGAAGAGAGAACTTCAGAAGTAATATATTTGGATTTTAGTAAAGAATTTGGTATTGGGTCTTGTGAAATCTTGCTTGAAAAAGTAGTAGAAATTAGTTAATATCATGTTGGTTATAAAGCCACTGAAGTACAATAAACTAATTAGGGAAAAAAAGCAGCATGATGTAAAGTTGAAAGAAGGTGTCTAATGGGAAAACACAGGAATCATCAGGCCTGGTCTTTTCTAATAACTTCATTAATGGGTCTGGAGCAGGGGGGTAACAATAAATTAATGACATTTGCAAACAATACTAATTTAGGAGGAATTGGAAACACCAGTCAGGGCACAGGAATGATACAAAAGGACTTGGACAGTTTAGAAACATGAGTTGAAAAGAATGAAATGAGATTCCACTTGGAAAAATGCAGAGCAGGGGAGTAACCATCCTTCTCTACCTAGTTCTGAAGTATTCCATTAAATTCTGATAACCACATTAATAGAAGAATATTGACAAGTTAGAGGGATTGAGAGAAGAAAAAAGTAAAAGAACTAACCATATGTAGTTTAGCTAAATGACACTTAAGGAAGGGATACAATATCCAAATATCTGAAGGGTGCAAATATGAATGGGCCAGAGACCCCTCTACCCTTCCAAAAAAAATGACCACTGACTGAGGGGAGGTCTGGTGGGGGGTTGTTGGAGAGTGAGCCTGCTCCACGGAAGGAGCTCCTGTTCCATGGGGCTGAGCCCAGCTCCACACTCTAGGCGTTTTGATTTGGCATGTGGGGTCACAGCGCCATTTGGTTTGGGGGCCTTCTCAAACAGGGGGCCCAGGGCAAACTGCCCCTTTTACCTCCCTCCTGGTCTGGGCAGCCTTGTGAATGGGGAGGAATTACTTAACAGTTACCACTAGGAATAATGGAATGAAATTAAGAAAGGGAGAATTGAGACTGAATATCAGCACGATCTCTGATGACAAGATATATCTGGCTCTGCAATAGTCTCCCTAGAAAAGTGGTGGAAGCTCCTTACTTTGTACACCGTAGTAGGCAATACACTGATAGTGTAAAGTAGGAAACAATCCAGCATTGGCAGGGAAAATAGTAGAATTGGAAGTTAGGAACTGCATCACAGGAAGACTGGCCTATATAAGGGGAAAGTGGCTGGTCTCAGCTGTGCTGTAATTAACTATATCCCAGCCTCAGGCGGGTGGGGCTAATGGGAGCAGGTGTTAGTATGATGAATATGTGGGCCTCATAACAAGGCTTGAGAGAGAATATTTGGGAGGAGGAAGCCATGTGAAAGACCCTGAGGTCAGGTCTACAAGTAGCAGGGAGGTCCCTGGGAGAAACTGCCGGAGTCCCTGTAGAGGGAAACAGTGGGAAACCTGCTAGGAGGAAAAAAGCCACTAGGGAGAAAGCTGTGGAGAGCAGTGCTCAGTTTAAGGTGCAAAGAAGAACTTTGCAGAGCCTGGGAGTAGGGATGAAGAGCAGGGAATGTCAGAATAACCCAAGAGAGGCAGAAGAACCATTTGTTTGGATGTTTATTTGAATGTTCAGTTGGAATGTTGTAATACCAGAAGGGACTGAACTGGCTGGAGGGCTGGGCCAAGGAAGCCACAGACCACTGCAGAACCAGAATGGCAGACACTAGGGGGTGTCAGAGGGGAACTACCCTTGCAATGCCAAGTCCTGGTTTCAGGGGATGCTCTCGTGGTGTTCCCCTCCCCCTGCCAATTATAAACTACTATATCAGTTCAGACCAATGGTCTGTCTAGTCTAGTACCCTGCCTCTACCAGTGGCCAGCACCAGATGCTTCAAAGGAAGGTGCAAGAGACCCTGAAGTGGACAATTACAGGAAAACCTATAGGGGAAGTTCCTTCCTAATCCTATTGAGTTAGGAGTAGATTCTCAAAGAGGACATAAGCATTGCAACACTAACTCCCAGGTGTCCTGCAGTCTGCTAGAATTCTCAACCCTGACTTAGGCACCCAGACTCCCTGTGCATTGAATGGGGAGCGTTAAGCTAGCCAGGAGTGAGATGTAGGGGTGGGGATTAGGGCCCATATGCATAAAGGGATTTTGGTACCTAACTCCTAGTGAGCTGTGCCTTAGGCACTTGTCTCTGCTTTAGATTCTTAGCCATGAACTTTTTCCTGGAGCGAGGTGTCTAAGCCAAGTCAGCCATTTCTTACAAAAACAGAGACTCCACCCCCTTATAGTCAGTAGTCAGCACACTCACCCAGGATGTGGGAGAGCCAGGTTCCAGTCCTTGCTCCAATGAATATTTAAGTACTTATGCAAAGTGGAACAGCTTCAACAGAAGCAATTGAATGAGCCATCCTCCAGAATAGCCCATAGCCCAATGGTTAGGACACTCACCTGGGATGTCAGGGAGCTGGATTCAAGTCCTTGCTCCAAATCAGGCAGAGTGGGAATTCAAATTGGGGTCTCCTACATCCCAGATAAGCACCTTTGCTATTGGGTATTCTAGACATACAGCTGCACACCCCAGCCAGTTTGAAAAATTCCTGACCTGCTTTCTGCCCCCTTTTGTAGAGGTTAGGTGTGCTCTGAGCATGCCTAGTGGATCAGGCCTGGCAGGTGATATAGTTAGGGGAACACCTAGTTTGAGAATCTTTCTGGGGCTTAGATGTCAGCAAGAGCTCCGATCAGCTCGTTAGCTGTGAGATGGCATCAGGAGCTAGGCAGCTTTGTAGGTGCTGACTGGTGGAAATGGAGCCTTATAGCGTTAGGTAGCAGTTTTGTGAACGTTAGTGTACTTAAATGTTGATAGTCAGGCACCTAAGTCCATTTGTGAATTGAACCTTTAGGTATTGACTTAGCAGTGTGCTTAGTTCTGAGGGTTCTGTCCTTTCTAAATGTGTTTTAACCATCTAATGTAACTGGACGTTTTCATTACCCATATAACAGTCTAATGCTTTTTTGAGTCCTAGCTTCTGTAGTAGTATTACTAGGCAATTTGCCTCAAAGGCATCTGAAAACCCGGAAGCAAATCACAACCTTCCCTGCTTCCTCCTTGCTCTGGGAAGGAATTTTGCCTGAAAGGTGTGTCTCTGAGTCACACTGCCTCTCACGGCTACTCCTGGGGTGGTCTCCTTTGCTCAGGGCTGTGCCCAAAGGGAATGTCTAGCCCCGTGGAAACAGTGACATCATTGGTATAATTCCTAGTGCCTGAGGAGTTCTGGACAAAATAAGACACAAAAGGTTTGATTTTTTTCTGCTGTGTAGTGGAGAGAGGGGAACAGCCCATTGCTCCCTGATTTTCAGCTGCCCAGCCCTGGTGTAAGTTAAAAGGGGCAGCTTTAATTTCTGTCATTGACATAAAATTCTTCGGAGACCTCTCACCATTGGAGAACGGGGCACAGTAGAACCTTGTTTTTCCACACCTTCTCCCCACCCCTACCTTCCATTATGCCAAGAGTGGAGATTTCAGCGGTGCCTCACCCACCAGCTCTTCTGCTGGTGGAGATTCCTGCTACACACGAGGAATTCTCCAAGGGAATCTCCAGCTGTCTTAAATTTGATCTGCATCACAGCAGATTATGTCTTGTTTAGACATGATCTTAACTCCCTGCCCCTGTAGCAGCTGAGATACATCAGTGGGGTGACACGCTGCAGCTTACATTCATGCCCCATCACCATATGAACACATCCAGATGATTTAAATAGTAACACGAACAGGAAATCCTCTCCTCTTAGCTGCACCTAGGCACTACATTGGCTGATACATGATGGTATGTGAGGGGAAAACAGATGTACAGTAACTAGAATAAACAAATGGGGACACCCCAGGGCTCTAAATGTAGGTGAATTTGGTGCTAATGGAACTCTTGCTTGAGTGCTGGGGGAGGAGAATGAGGCTGGATCCATCCTGAAAAAGTCTGTATAAAAAACCTGCTCCTACATAAGAGTGTTTCTGCTTGCTACCGTTTGGGAATATTTATCCCCCAGCTCTTGCCCCAAGTGATATTTCATTTTATTGTAATTCACTGATATTTTTTTAAGTCAAATTTTGCCCTAAATTACCTCCTGTTCCATCAATCCCAAAAGATAATTTGAACCTTAATGTTCACATCCAGCAGGCAGGATAAGATGGAGTAGCTAAACATAACAAGCAGGCGTTAGTGTCAGAAGGGCTCTGAGGAAATGTTCTTTGGCAAAGCTAATGGCATCATTTTGTTCCAAGAAGTCTTTACTTTTTTAACAATTACTTAAAGCCATAAAAGGCCTGATCCAACTCTCACTGAGTCCATTACAATATTTCCTTTGACTACTGTGGGAGTTAAATTGAGGCCGAAGTGACTGACAGAGTCTTCACCATTATTATTTCCAAGGCCCAAAGGTTCTGTTCTGACAGCTGAAGTTTGACAAGATATAGAGACCCCATCTGCTCTCCCGTTTTCTCTTGGCCATGCCCTCACATTCTGGATGTGCGGGGGGTGGCATAGAAGCTGCTACAGTAGCCCTACACAACCCTATCATTCCCTCTTGTGGTGAGAATATGGTGTTGCCAAAGCAGCACAAACCAAGTGAAGCAAGTGGGATCTTGCTCAGCTCAGGACACACAAACTGAAAGAAACCCCATGGAAAGAAATAAAGACATAGTTTTTTTCAGTGAGAGATCACTCTCCGTGGACAAAAGTTTCTTAAAGAAAAACCATGCTTATTTGATTTTCCCACCACTTTCTTAACCAGAAAACTTCAATGAGATTTATATAATGTATTTAATATTAGCCACCCCCCAAGCACAAATAGCTATTTAATCTTTATGTGTAATATCTCTGCAGCATTTCAGTGCAATTTGAAAGGAAATACACGCTTGTTCCTAAGAGAGGAGATTACTCTTTGCTGGATAATACAACCCTGAGACTCTGTACAGATTTTTTCCAGTATAATACATTTCATATTATAGTAAATCTTATAAATTTGATGCAGATATTGGTTTGTAACATAAGCAGCTGCTGCCTGGAAAGTTTTAAATCTTTTTTGAAGCAAGACAAGAATCCTTAGCTTTTTAAAATTAACGGTATATATGCTGGGTGGAGAAACAAAAGATAGGGCACGTTTCCTCAAACTAATAAAAGTTCCAATATTTGCAAGTGCTAATAGAAAACTTAAAGGCTAATTGTTTAAGTGGTGTTATCATAACATGGCAAAACACTGCAATTAATTACTGTACTTGAAAATGTTCTGTATTATACTGTATTAAACGTATAACTGTTTTAATGATACAAAGTTTTTATTCCATGCTTCCTTGGGCACATTCAGAAAGAAGTAAGTACAATGGCAATGATGCTCTGATGAAACTGTGTGTGTCTGTGTGCATTTGGCATGCTTGATCATATTGTTAGCAACACTTTTCTTCACTATATCTGGTGCATGTTGGTAATGTAATTGTTTCCCACATATTAAAATCCTCAGGTTGATCATGTAGTTAGTCCTATATGACCCACTCTTTTAACAAGGTTAATCAACCACATACATATAACACAAAGTATGGAAAGTTATAGGTTAAGACTTAGGGCATGTCTACACTTGCCATTTAAAGTAGAAAAAGTTCCTTTTTTGTGCAAAAACCGTGGGAGCATCTACACTTGCCAGTGACTTTTTGTGGTGAAACTCAGAAGTTTTACTGCAAAAAGAAAACCACCTCCATGAGAGGCATACAGCTCTTACCAGTGATGCTTTTTCGGTGATGTGCAAGTGAAGGCACATTCTTCCTGTTTACAGAGCTTTTAGCCTCCAGAGGATATCCCACAGTGCCTAGGTGACCATTCTGGCCAGCAGCTCTGCTGCTCTGATGCCAGGTAAACAGACATCCACCCCTTACCCCTGTAAAGCCCTGGGAACTTTGAAACTCCCCTTCATGTTTTCTTGGCAAGTGCTCACTTATCATCTGGCCAGGTGACAATGCCTGCTCCATGGAGCAAACAGTCTCCTGCTTGAAGCAATGCTGAGTTACTGGAGCTGATCAGCGTTTGCGGAGAGGAGGTTGTATAGGGACCCAGGATGCCCTGCGATCACCGCCCCCCCCCCCTTCCCACAAGACCCATCGTCGAAATGGAGAGAGCTGCACTGTGGGATAGCTGCCCTAGAATGCTGCTCTCATTGGCGATGGAAGTGCTGCTAATGTAAACACTCTCTGACGCCCGAGGAATTAAGCGTGTACACAAACCAGCGCTTTACGTTTACCGATTCCCTATCACTGGTGAAACATACAGCACAAAAAATCTGCAAGTGTCGACATACCCTTAGTAAATGTGAAAGCAACTGAGGCTTGGTCTACACTTAAAAATATACTGGCGTAGCGATATCCCTCAAGAATATGAAAAAAACACAACCCCAAGCGACAGAGCTATGCTGATAAAAACCCCCATGTAGATGCGGCTATGCTGAAAGAAGAATGCTTCTGTCGGCATAACTAATGTCATTCAGGGAGGCGGTGTCCCTACATCAGCAGAAAAACTCATTCTGACAGCATATTCTGTGTCTGCACTAGGGGTTCCTCTCTCCTGCAGGGACATAATGAGTTACATTGTTGCAGATTTCCTCTAGCAATGAAAGTCTGAAATTAAATAAGACAACTTTGCTGTCATATACCCTATCCTACTCTTCTACAATTTTAGTCTTTTAATTAGGTAATATATATAACATGAACAAGACAAGATTAAGGTCAAATCCAGCACCCTAGGCAAACTCCATTGAGCCCCAGCATAATTTAGAGCAGTTTAATGACTTTTCTAAATTACCTGAACTGCAGTATACAATCTCCCTTCCAACTAAGCTGCCAGTCAGCTCACCAGCTCAGTAGCTGTCAGAGCGGGCTACCGACTCCCTGGTTTTCACAGCCCCCCTGTGATCTCAGGGAGCTAAAACAGCTGGGGGGTACACTGGAGGAGAATGCCAGGGATCCACCTGGAGTGTTATCTTCTGAACAGGTTTAATTTGGGCATGCAGAAGAGCTCGTCAACCCAGATACATATCCTCTGCCATACGCTGTGCAAGGAGCTGTCCAGCTGAACTCTTCTGAAGAAAGTGCAGTCTGTCTGATCAAGACTGCAGTGGCCTGTTTGAAGTTCCTTCAGCTGATCACTGTGCTGCTTTACATTCTTCACCATTTCTTTGTTCTGTTCACTGATAAAATGATCACTAGCACACTAGTTTCTATCCTGTAGAAAACAATGTATCTTTATAGGAAACAGGAGGTGAAGGGGGAAGTTGTTAGGATATTAGTAGTGCATTGGTAATGATCTTGTTCTGAGGATGTGATTTTGAAATAGCAGAATTTTAATTTAAATATAAATTAAGTTTTTTGGTCAAGTCAAATAAATAAAAGTGGGCCTTTAATTAGAGCTGGCTAGAAAATGGAAATTCCTTCACATGAAAAATATGTCCACACTGCGATAAAAGACCCACGACATGGCCATGGCTGGCCTGGGGCAGCTGACTCAAGCTCGCTGGACTTGGGCTGCAAGTGTCCTGAGTCCCCACAAGGGTGTGTGTGTGTGGTGGGGGGGGGGGGTCTGAGAGCCCGGGCTCCATCCCAAGCAATGTACTCTGCTATTTTTAGTCCCATAGCATGAGCCCTGCAAGCCTGAGTCAATTGACCTGGGCTGTGAGGCTCACTGACCTGGACCTTTTTTGCTGTGTGGACGTACCCTTAGCCTCCCCCTATTTCTGGGGCCAGAGAGGCAGAGAGCCCTGAGTGCTCAGTCTCTTCATCCCCAGAATGAGGAGGGGGCAGGAAGGCTGAGCGCCTGGGCTCTTTGCCTCTCCGGTGCTTGGGGTGAAGGCAGGGAGGCCTGAGATCCAGAAAGGCAGATTCAGGGCGCCCAGCCATGGCAGTCCTTTTGGAAGGCTTTTGTCAGTTTGACTTTCTGCCTACAGGCAGAAGAGCCTTCTAGGAGGCAGCCTCGATGGGAAATTCCCAACCCGCTCTACTTTAAATTCTTCTCAGTGTAAAAACAAATGCCTTCTCTATTGTAAATTAGACCATTCCTTTTCTAATCTTGTGCTGAGAACTTGCTACTTTCAGTGACATCAGTGGTGTTTGCAGTCACTCAGCACTCTTCAGCATCAAACTGTTAAGTGTTAAGACATAGTAACCAAACAAAAAAAATATTGTCAGTATGGAGTACTGGTTCTCATCAGTTACTTAGGACTCAATTTAGAAAAGCACTTAAGCAGACGCTTAAGTCCATTCCTATTGAGGAAAACATGTTTACAATGGCATTACAGTCAAGCCTGTGCTTACATGCTTTCCTGAGTAGGGAGGCTTTCCTCAAGCAGGACCTTAGTGTGGGTCATTGGGGTTGGAGGGCTTGAGACAAAGCAATTATTTTTTCTACACCACTCACACAATCTATTCTTTCTTGCTAGTGATAGCTACAGTGACCTCAGTGATGACAGTTCTCCAGAAAAAGAACCTCCTGATTCAGAAACAAGCTGAACCCCCTGCATGAGAGCAGAGAATTGGAGAATGCTACTGAGGTGAACAGGGTCCTTTTGTTGCTTCTTTCTTCTTGACTTACTGCAAGAGACAAAGTTACCTTGGGTCTCCCTCTCACTCCAAATCCCCTCTGAAAGCTTATCTTTTCTCCCTTGCCTGCAGCATTTAATTTCTCTCCCCTTCTGTTGTTTAACTTTGTAATTGTATTATTAAAATCTGCAGTGTGTTTTGGGTGCAGTTCTTATACTGTTTGAAAAGCTATTATTTATAATTATACTTTTGTAATCTTTCCAAAAATTGTTTTCTTTACTTGTTTGTTACTTTAGCATGCAACTCAAAATGAGTTTGATTCCATTGTGTTGACTTGATTTTGTTTTTGCCCCTCTTTGAACCATTTCTTTGTGTTTTATTTTCTGTTGTCATATTTCTACCAGAGATGGACACTCGGCCTTAGGACAGTGAAGACACTTCATGATAAATCTCGGGGTTCAGTGTAGGGATGTGAATTTAGCAAGCTAATATTTTTAATTTGGAGTTTTGTTTGCTAATATACTCTTGCTAAAGTCCTGTTACTTCTAGTTGTTTGCTTCTTTAACAATAACAGTAATGGTCTCCACAGCTATCTGAATGTGTATTTCCCTTGAAGCATCTGACCTTGGCTAAGTCGTGGACGGATCTACAGTCTTACTTTAACCATTGAGACTTAACCTACACAAGGCCTTCAAGATCATGGCCAGTGTGTTAATCTCATTCATCCCTTCATTCTGAACCACGATGCGGTGTTCTTGAATACCGTTGTATGCAATTCATTTTAGGTTTCCATTTCCCCAATTTGATCCTCTCCATTTGCATAATTGATGTCTGCTGTGCCACATTGGTGACTAAGGCTGCATATAAATAAGGTAGACTGAGGCTCAGGAGATGTGAGTTCTGCTCTTAGCTCAACCACATATTTCTTCTATGACCTTGAGCAAGTCACTTTGGGTGGGATTCACAAGGTAGAATTAGTTGCCGAAGTCCAATATTTAGACACCACTGCAATCCACAAAGCCTTTGCTTAGCTGCTGCCTAACCTTGTAGGCACCTAAAGTCCCTCATGCCTAAGTTTCCAACCATGAAAATCCCCCAGATGCCTAAATTTCAGCAGCTGAATATGTCCAGAGTAATGTAAGTCCTGATACTGCTTGGCACCTAACTCACACTTAAGCCCCAGAAAAATTAATGAACTAATTAATGAATTAATGGGTAGTGTGCTTGGAGCACAAATAAACACACCCAAAATGGGAGGAGGTGGTAGAGTGCCCCCCCTCCCTTACAACTTTTAGTCCAGTAGTTAAAGCACTTACACAGATTCAATTCCCACTTCTGCCTGAGGTGAAGAAAGGATTTGAACTTGCGTCGCCTACCTCCCAGAGGGCTGCCTTAGCCAATAGACTATGGCATGTGCCTGGGTAGCTGTTTCTCCATCTCTCCTGTTTAAATAATTAAATAGTCATTGGCGTAGGCAAACTGAAACCTGGGTCTTCCACCTCCCAAGTGGGGTGGCCTATATAATCACTGGGCTATGGTCATTCTTACTCTGTCTTTGGCCCAGTGCATATTTAAGTATTTATACACAGTGGAACAGCATCACTGGGAGAGATTGAGAGAGTCCTGATCTAAAATGTCCTAGCGCTCAGTAGCTAGGGCTCTCTCCTGGGAGTTAGAAGATCCATGTTCAAATCCTTTTGCCACATTAGGTAGGGGAGGAGGGATTGAACCTCGGTTTCCCATATGCTGGGCATGTGCTCTAACCAGTGAGATAAAACCTGTTCCTTGTTGGCTAGCTTAGACAACTCCCTGCTCAGTGTGATGGCTTTTGTTTTCCATTCTTAGGTGCCAGTGCCCACCATGCATTGTATAGGGAGCTTGGACACCTAACTCAGGGCTGTGAATTCCACGAGGCGGCAGGTGCCTAAGCCCCCTTGTGAATCCCACCCTTCATCTTGCTATACCTCAGTTCCCCATCTGTAAAATTGGGATAACGATACTTCCCTACCTCACGTGGCTGGGGAGGATTAATCTATATGAGAATCTCAAATACGATGGTGATGAGCAGCTTAAAAATGTCAGTAAAGAAATAAAACACTTCTCACCTTGCTTTCTGCCTGAGCTGCAAGAGCAACACTGTGACACTGTGTGTGTCTATAACTGACACCAAATTTATGAGATCCAGTTTAGCTTTGACTATGGGTTTCCCAACAGAGTGCATGATGGCAAATCCTAACATGCCATTAATCTAGGTACAGAATTGTGACTCTTCAGATGCAGATTGCTTTCATAAATGTATTTCTGTGGTGCTTTAAGTTACTTTGCCAGCAGAGTTTCAGATTGAAGAATCTACATTTTTATTTTGATTTTTCACCAGCAGGCACTAATTACATTCTGTAGAATTACATTAGATGAGCAAATAGCACATAGCTTTACTTATAGGCATAATCAAATTACAAAAGTGATCATTGCCTCAGTTACCTTCATTACAATATTAAGATTTTAAGAGGGGCATGATTTCCCCTAATCAAGGGTGGATGCACATGTAGACTATATTTGCTTTGGTTCATTAGCACTCTGTTGAATCTAGGTAAACTTGCAGTATCTACTGTAAAATTATTTTTATGTCCATCATCTATTCCACTGGGTACACGGACATTAAGGGATATGCCAACTATAAAAATACTAAATGGATATGCAGAGAAGGCTTGTGCACACACTAATTCTTGCCTCTTTTATTTTGTTTTTGTTTAGAAAGACAAAACAAAATCGAATGGAAGGAAATTCACACTAATTGGTTGCACCATTTTTGTACAGTCTTATTTTCCATATATGATATAAATAGCATATGATATAGACTGTAAAGCTATTACAGAGACTTAACTTCCTCACAAAAGCATTTGCGTCCCTGTTATGGATGTGAGTTGTTTCCAGTTGTCATTTTCCAGATGATATTTTCATTCCCCTGTACGAGAGTAGTTCTTCAGATAATTGCTGTTTGTTTAAAAATGAGACAAAGGACCATCAAATCTTAGCTATCAGTCACAATAATTGGTCTTCTCCTATGATTTCTGAATGATCTCAGGTGAATCTGCCGTAGTTCTTTATCTGTAGCAATCTTGATTTGCACGAAGATTTGGGGTTGTTTTTTAAATAAAATGAAACAGGAAAAAATGCTTTTGCCTTAGAACAGTAAAATGTATTTTGTGTGTGTGCTGTCTGTGTGCTCAAAGGTGGGAATGAACTAAAAAACAAAATTGATCTTATATGTGAGCAGTGGAGAATCGTTTCAGTGTTAAGATTATTGAATAAATGTTTACTCCTTTGCTGTTAACATAAACAAGGCATTAGGTTGGTCTGTTGTAGTCTTCACGGAGTTTAATAACTGATGCTGAATATGCATTCCTTTTCATTTTGCCTCTCCAAATGCAGTGTCATCATACAGCTGCTAAAATTTATCTGCTTCTTGCTTTCACCCGAACAGTAATATTTTTGAAAAGCTGATAATACTGAACATAATGCTAGTCTACTAAATTCTAAATGGGATAGTAGAAGGTTTGAATGTACTAGATGCCTAAGAGTATTTAAACACATGGATAAACAATAAAAAATAATCTAGTCAGCTGTAAACAAAACATTAATGCACAGAATTTAAGAGGGAGAGATCCTGGGGTCCAGCTGGATTGCACATAGCATATGTCAGGAAATGGGTACAAAGATGGATTAAAACTCATCTTCACACTCTTCTGATTCAGGGGCCAGTCTATACAGAGCTGGTTCCCTTGTGCCCCATTAGAGCAGCCTATGGGCTATTTTAATTTATGACAGATGCAAACACCCAGAGCTACTGAAACTACAGCCAGTAACCAGTGTCTTCTAGGGGTGTCTTGGCCACAACCTACCTTGCCTACTATCTGAGCAGCACAAGGGCAACAGATGATCCCCTAGTGAGTCCGCCAAGGGCCAGTTAGGATGTCTCTAGGACCAGATTCCACCAGTTGTGTGACCATCCAAGGTCTGGCCCATAGTGTGGATCGGCACCCTAAAGCTAGCATAGCCCAAATGTCTGAAATGAGGTCCTCAAGTTTCACATTTTAATTTTATAAATTCAAAGGTTATTTTTTACCCAGGCACACTGGACAGTCATCTAAAAAAATGATTTGCCTCTTAAATAACTTTGTAATATTTAATTTGTAAGTATGAGATTTTTTAAAATTGTTTTAGAAAACCCCAGTTTCCGCAGTCAATCCATCTGTTCATTAAGAGAAACCCTTAATGATAAAATAAGTTCCTAATATGTCATTGTTTTGGGGTGGGGTTTTGGGGTGGTTTGCAGATGTGTGCCTTGGAAATAACAGATATTGTCGGAGTTGATATTACTATATGTCTATGATCTAGAACATGTTGGACTTTTAAGAATGTCTATAGCTTTAAAATGTATTTTCAAATACATTAAATTATGTTATATGAAAATGTTTATACAGTGTGTTGTATTACGTCCAGAATATAGCATATGTTGTTTGTGTCCCATGAAAGCATTGAGATAGGCAATATATACAGTCTGCCTGAATGCAGTATTGTCTATCAATGCAGCCATCTCCTGTTAATCTATAAATGTATTCCTGATTCACAGAAAAAGTAATGATTTACGACAATATCCCGGGAACTAGTTTCCCCACTCAAAAAATTGGGAGAATACTTAAGGCACAGAGAAGTTGTGATTTGGTTTTGTTTTTTTTAAAGTTGAGGAAGCTAGTGACAGAGCTGAGAGTAGCAGCTTGATCATTCAGCTCCCTTACCCTGTCCTCTCCCACTCCAGACTGTGTTGGGGAGCTGCCCCCAGGACATTGGATCCTGGAGGCCTGCCCCACCATATCCATGAGGAACCCCTCCTTTGTCACCAGCAGCAGCAGGAGGACACGTCCAAGGGTGACTTTTAAAGGACCCTACTCCCTGGGAAAGGGCCAGAGAGCAGGGAGGTGTGCTTTATGGTGTCCGGCAGCAGCCTCTT